GACTTGCCCCAGAATTTCTGCGTAGGCTTGGGGGATTGGATGAAGCTCCAGTCACGCGAATCTGCCTGCATGGCTAGCTGGACAGGTCTATGAGAGACCTTTTCAGCGATGAAACGGAAACCTCTTTCTGGGAGAACAAGCTCATAGGTCTCGCCTAACATGGGATTGAAAGGTTTGCGAATAGTCCGCTCCTTGATTCGTGAATTGGAAAATTGCGAGAGGGCGAAAGCAGTTACATATATCAACCGCTCCAGCGCATCGGTAGCATTGGCTGCCTTGTCAAGAAGTTGAGAATATTCAAACTGCTCTGCCGCTCGTTGAAGCAAGGAAAGGGGCTCGTTGGCAGACACAGGCATTGATATAGTCGATAGATCCTTGCCGACATTCTTCCGCATAAAGCTGATCAAACTTGGTGGTAGGCCAATTGGTGGTTCTATCCTTGATCTGCGGGGCGGTGCTTCCATAGGTAAAGGAGCAAGTGATCGTGCTTTCACCGGGAATAGTGAGGATGAGGAGTCGAGTTTGAAGTCACCGCGTAGGAACTCGTCTCTATCATCCACATCACTGCCAGACGACGACGCGGCGTCATCATCAACAGCCGTCACAACACTCTTTGAGTCTTCTTCGCCACTATCCTGGTGAATCGTTAATAAGGGAGAAACGTTTCCTCCATCCACGGCATCGAAAAACTCCTCTGAATCAGAGTCAGCTGTTACAGAGTGGGCAGGCCGTATTGCTATCGGGGTCCTGGAGCGAGTTCTATCGCTAATCAGGGCATTAAACTCGGAGACAACCGCGTTCAGGTCATGAAGCAGGATCATTAAGTCATCATGAACGCCAGATCCAATTCCAGATTTAGATGAACTGCCGTCGAAATAAGAGCCTTCGTGGCTGAGTGGAGGGGTTTGTTGTGGTCCTAGGGGTGATAGAGCCGGCCGTTGGGTTGGAGTGCTGCTTCCACTATCACTTTTACCCTTGAGTTTCCAAAATGATCGTTTCTCCTTGCTCTCAGAGACGTCTCCAGGCTGCGAGACACGACGTACACCGTTTGCTGGGCTTTGGTTACCTTCATGGTCTGGAGTTGGCATGAGGTATTTTGGGTCTGTATCCTTGGCTAGCTGGCGCACTTTATCTCTCGAGGCAGATACCGATTCAACTAATCGTTCAATGATTGTCCAATCTTGGAACTTGGGTTTGTTCACGCTGTGTTTCCTTGTGATCAGGGTCGGCACCTTGAGACCTCCATCT